TTTTGCAAAAATAAATAAATACATAAGTTATGGGGTAAGAGGGAAAATGGCATCTAAGCAGGGAACCTGCTTTGCTCTGAAAGTAGTTCAGAGAAGTACTGTACCCAGAGAATCCTGTGACTTGGAGCAAGACTAAAGCACCTTGGCCCATTGGAGACTAATGTAGACTATGCACCATGGCATAGGGGACACTAAAGAAATTCAACTTTATGCAACAAAGGTGGGTGGAGAGAGATACCTAGATACTGTGGCTGGGTGGGAGCCAGCAGGCAAACCTATACTATGACTGGCTGGCAACCCTGGGCAGGAGAGAGCTGATTGATGTGGAGAGGCACACCCTTAGCTAAGGAGAGATACATACTTAGTGCTGGGGTAAGTCAAACAGCCAAGTCTCCAGTGAAGAAAATAGGATACAAAACTGAGCTCACTGTCCCCCAACCCCTCCAGACTCCAGTTGATCCTCTGAAGCCACACTGAAACTGTGGCCCCGGGCAATAGAGATGTTGAGTCTAGAAACCAAGAGAGAGGGGCTTATCAGTGGTATACATACATGAGTAACCCACACACTGCTTTCACCAGTGACTGGACGCCTTCAAATCCCTCGCCCACCCACTGACTCAGCTGTTGCAGATCAGTTCTCCCCTACATACAAATCACTGAAACAAGTCAGGAAAACTTTAAAAGAGAAAAAAAATCCCATAGCATCTACTGGAAAAGTGGAAGTTCAGCACACTTAGGACACTAAAAAATAGCAAATGGACAAGAAGCAAAACAGATGAATGGAAATATATAGCATGGCACCAAGAGTCCTCAAAGGAATATCTTACCACAGAGAGAACAAATCTCCAGAATCAAACTACAAAGACATGGAAGATATTTTCTTCCTATCATATATAGAATTCAAAATTGCCATGATAAAAAATTCAAAGAAAAAATGTAAAAAAAAACACAGAAAGTTCATTAAAGATATACAAGAAAAATCAGAAAAACAAGTATGCTGAGAAATTAAATTAATGATCAAAAGATAGGAATTGAAGCTTTACATATAAAAAAATGGAAATGCAGAATTTAAAAAGGTAAACAGAGGAGACAAAGAGAATTCTGGAAAAAGCAATAGAAGTAAAATTCACTGACTGGAAGATTGAGTTGGTGACCTGAGAAATAGTAATGCACAGAGAATACAGAAGTGGGAGTAGAAAGAGAGTAGAAAGAGTAGAAAGAGAATACATAGAAAGAAAAAAATGCATAAACTCTGAAAATATTTCAACTCCATGAAGAAAGGTAAACAAGGATGATGGGTATTCTAGAAGGGGAAGTGAGAGAAAAGGAACAGAGAATGCATTCAAAGAAATAATAGAGGAAAACTTCTCAAAACTGGAAAAGTAGCTAGATACACAAGTTCATGAAACTTAAAAGAATGCTTGGTTTCATTAATGTAATGACACATACACCATACATATACTTGTGACTTTTCAAGAGTTCTAGATAAATATTGCAGCTGGCTAGTGGGGACAGATAACCTACAAACATACCCCCATCAGGCTTATATCTGATTTCTCTGTGGAAATACATAGGCAAAGTGAGAATAGAATAATGTATTCAAACTACCTAAAGATAAAAACTGCCTGCTAGAAATACTGTATCGTGCAAGACTCTCTTTCAGTTATGAGGGAGAAATAAAGGCCTTCTGAGACAAACAGAAGCTTAAGGAATTTACAAACACCTCCAGTGAAGAGCAATTAAAATTAGCTCTCATGCCTAATTCAAAGAGAAGAACATTCATAAAGTACTGAACAAAGAAATAAAGAGAAACAGAAAACTAAGGACTAAATGAAGCCTATGACCCTTATATATCAATAATCACCCAAAATGTGAATGAATTAAACTCACCAATCAATGACCTAGAGGGCTTGCTGGAACAGAAAGCAAAATCCAACATGCTGCTGTTTTAGGAAAATGTACCTGAGCTCCAAAGAGAAACACAGGCTCAAAGTAAAGCGTTGTAAAACAATCTTACAAGCAAATGGGACCAATAGAAAGGTAAGAACAGGCATCCATATATTACACAAAATAGACAGTGCTAAAAAAGGGAACAAGAGACAGGACACTATATAATGATTAAGGCACTTTACATTAGAAAGACATACACTCATTAATATGTATTCACGAAATGTAGGATCATCAAAATATATAAGGTAAAAATTATGAAATCTTTAAACGGACATTGGTAGTTAACAATAGTGGTGGGGACTTCAAACCCCACTTTCACCAATGGACAGATCAACTAGACAGAAATAAAGTAGGAACAATAACCTTATACATAGAATTAGACCACATGGATTACTTTAGCTCACTAGCATTGAGATGAGTTTGGTCTTAATAGTTTGTATAGTAACATTCTTAAATGGTCACTGAAATAGCAAGCAAATATTCTAATGTTTGCTAATAATCAAAGCCACGAATACAAGAGGAAACATGTATGTTTAGTTTGTATAAAATGAGACATACAATTATATGCTGCTTTAGTGATTGCTTTTGCTGCATTCTTCTGAATATCAGGAATTGTAGAGTTTTCTGCAAATGTTAGGAGCTTCTTAAGACCCCCAGTCTGATGAATCAGCACCATAGTATCCATATCTTCAAGGCAATTGGCTATCACTAAAAGTGCTTCTATATGAAGGTCACTCAAGTCCTAATAATAAAAGCAAACACAACTTTAGAGAATTGTACTAAAGAAATTGATACTTTCAAATTTTACTACAGGAAGAATTGAGGTCAGTCAGAATATAAAGTAATTAAATTTTTGGTGAGGCCTAAGGAAATAGCTCTATTTGCTTCAAAGTAACATCACAGCCTCTAGAGCCCAGAGGTATACCCACAAATATATAGATATTTAATCTACGATAAAAGAGCCAAGCATATACACTGGAAAAAGGAAAGTCTCTTCAATAAACAATGTTTGAAAAGTGGACAGCCACATGCAAAAGAATGAAACTAAACCACTATCACATACCATCCACAAAAATTAACTCAAAATGGATAAAAGGTGTGGATGTGAGACCTAAAACCATAAAATACAAAAAAGAAGATACAGGCAAAACACTCCACAATATTGACTTCAGTGATGTCTTTGTGGTTTGTCTCCAACAGCAAGGACAACAAGAGAATATAAACAATTGGGACTACATCAAACTAAAAAATCTTCTGCATAGGGAAAGAAACTTTCAGTAAAACAAAAAGACAGCCTACTGAATGGGGGAAAACATTTGCTCACCATCTATCCTACAAGGGCTCATACAAAATGTACAAAGAGGGCCTCCCTGGTGGCGCAGGCGGTTGAGCGCAGTGTTGTGAAGCTGTCTGCAGCCTCTGCAGTGCTGGTTCCATCCTTGCCAGCAGGCGAGGGTCCCACCTGGCACTGCAGACCTCTCCTGTCGTACCCGCTGCTCCCCTCAGCAGTGTCTTTGGTCCGTCTGCCTGTTCTTTTCCCCGCTCTGTCTCTGGTGAATTCTCTCGCCCTCCCCGCACATCTGGCCTGTACCCCGGTTCTTGTATAAATAAATAAATCTTTAAAAAAAATACAAAAATGTACAAAGAACTCATATAATTCAACAAAAACGCAATCAAAACATGGTAAAAGATCTAAATAGACTCTTCCCCAAAGAAAACATAGCTAGCCAAGAGGCACATGAAAAACTGCTCATCATCAAGTATTCCCTGGGAAACACAAATCAAAACCACAATGAAATATCACCTCACACATGTAAGAATGGCCCATATAAAAAAGATAGGAAAGAACAAGTGTTGGTGAGGACGTTGGAAAAAAGGAACCTTTCTATATCATCTGAGGAATGTAGATTGGTCCAACTCCCATGCTAGTATGGGGATTTCTCAAAATATTAAAAATATTCTATATCATGCAGTAATTCCACTCCTACATATATACATGAAAACAGAAACACTAAATAAAAGAGAAATACACATTCCTATGTCATCGCAGCATTATTTACAATAGCCAACCATGGTAACAACTGAAGTGCCCAAACAGATGAGTGGATGGAAGAGTATATTTATACACAATGGAAGAGTACTCAGCTATTAAAAAGATAAGCTCTTGACATTTGTTATAATATGGATAGAATTGAAGATGATTATGATAAGTGAAAAAAGTCTAAAGGAGAAAGAAAAATACCAGATTTGTCATTTATATGTGGAATATAAAGCTATAAGGCAAAAGTTCAGATAAAATCAAACCAACAACAAACTCTAGAAGTCTGACTAGAGCTGAGGCTACCAGTGGGAGAGGGAGAGTCGGAAGGGAGAGTGAGCACAGTGGACTAGGGTGGAGGATTATGGGTGGAGGACTATGGGTGTTTTGCTGGTGGGTGTGCTGTGGCTAAACACACCTGAAGGGGGAGAGCCTGTACCTCTAAAACATCAATAACACTGTAAGACAATGTTACCTCAATAAGAAAGGAAAAATTATCTTAAAATGACCTAATTCATTTGATTTAATCATGCTGATAAACTGTGTCACATAAAGCAAATATATCCATTATATTTAATATCATGCTTAAATAGAATATGATTTCATTCAAAAATATTCCACAATTTATAACAACTTTCAGGAGATTTATTTCCTCATAGAGAGCTGAATGAATGACACAATACCTTACTTTCTAGGATCTTAATAAGTTGGTCCACTCCTTGATAGTCTCTTAGTATTACTCGTGACTCCTTATCATTTGTAATAACACCTAAGGTTTTGAGAGCCAACAGCTGAATAACTGGATATTCTGAATTCAAGAGCTCTAATATAGGAGGGATTGCATTTAGCTCTGGAAGTGTAGCTCGACACTGAAAATCCTGCCATGAGAAACAAATGATCAAGATAAAGCAACTTTTAAGGAACTATACCATCTCAAAATGAAGAAATTCTATTTTCTAACATAGACATTATAAATTATAATTTCCCATCTTTTATTCCAGATGTCTTTCAAAAATTCATAAAAATAGGGAACCCTCAAACGACAATCCAAAGTATTCATTTTAATGGTGCAGACATTGTCAATAAAAAGAGATAGATATGATCTATGACTTTTGCAATATCTATTCATTTATTACACAACAAATTCCTATTACTATAAGTAACATTATAATAAAATCTATGCATAATACAATTCTTTTCATACTCTACATCTTGTTTCAAATAGCATTTGAGAAAATTAAATGATGGCATCAATTCCTTATTCTCTTCATCCAAATGGCCTGTTTGTGAAATGCTCATACGCAGATAGTGCCACTGGCAGGCCCTCTGCATGCAAACTGACAACAGGTTTATCTCTGACGCTGACCTTTGTTTAATACACATACAATATGAAGGGGTCTTTTGTCTGTAATTCTGTGTGATTGGTGGGGAGAGGGGTTGGGTGGAGTGAGCAATGAAGAATATAAGGCAAACCACAAAGAAAAGCCCCAAACTGACTGCTAAATCATAACATTTTGAGTGAAACCATGTAAAAAGAATATTAAAAGTGGAAAAGGCCCCACTTATAGCTTACCTTTCCTGTTTCTACCCTTCCACTGATCTCTAATATTTAACTTTCTTCAGACGTAAAAGTTGCAGTTTGCTGTTTGTTATGAATTGAATTATGTGAAAAGTAACATAACCAGAGAAAGCCGAGAAGAAAAAAACTGCTTCACTAATATCTTTAAACTGTAGTTAACCCTTGGACTAGATCAATCCACCAACATTCCAAGACCCAGCAAGGGGACTATCCAGTTTGAAAGAAGTGATAAGGAGAACTTTACCCTTCTTTTGTTGTGTGACCCCTTCCACCTGTCCACTTACCTTGTGTCTCCTTCATTTGACCATTAACTCACCTCACCCATGACCTCATCCTCCATGACCTCACTCTTCTTTCTCTCTCTATAAAAACCTCCCTGGGTCCCTCTTCTGGACATATTTCAGGTTTCTACCTAAATCTGTGTACCTCAATCTTCAATTCTTTGCTATCCCCAAATAAACACATTTCAGCTTGCCCATTCTCCCTGCCATTCTCTGGTTGAAGGTTAGTGATTATAGCAACTTGGAACTGTGACCACGGAGTTCACTTTGGATATCAATAAATACAATACAGCACTCCCTTATGATATTCTCAATAACATCTTTTCTCTAGCTTACTCAATTGTAAAAATACAGCATATAATACATACAACTATAAAATATAAGCTAATCAACTACTTGGATTTTCAGTAAGACTTCAGTCAACAGCAAGCTATCAGCAGTTAAGTTTGGGGGGGAGAGTGGAAAGCTGTATTTGGATTTTTGATTAGGAGAGTTGGCACCCCTAATTCCCACATTGTTTAAGGGTGAACTGTATACCCCACATGCTTGGATCACCTAGCTAGATCAATATGTAGTTGCCCAGGTCAAACTAGCTCAATATAAGATTTCCTGTTTCAGAATAAATGCATTTTATCTGCCTTATTTGATAAGTCATTCTATTCTTTTACATGAAATATGTTTCTCAAAATCTCTTTCAATGGGAAACAGATAATGTGAAAAATGAAAAGTATCTATACTAAATTCCCGTATTTTTTCTCTGAATAACTACTAAATAGAACCAAGAAGAACTGGTGAGTTTTAAAAAGTTTTTTCCTTTTTTTATGCAAAAAAATATATTCTATAATCAGCTTTTGTCAAAACACAGTCTCAGAACTTGCTCTTACCTGGACCAAGTTGTAAATGCACTCAATAGAATTCTTCTTCACATCAGGGTCAGGGCTGCTCAATAGTCTGATGAGTGGCTCTAATCCGCCGTATTCAAATATTTGCACTTTGCTGGTGTACTCAGCAGACATGTTTGCTAGGCAAAGACTAGCAAACTCATGGATAATTACTTCTTCTGTATATCAAAAATAAAGAGCACGAGTATGCTAAATCCTCATTCAACCACTCCACTACGGCATGCTTAGAAAACGAAAGCTCCACAAATTATACCTGGGTTGGAGCCCAACTTGGTTTGAGAAATTTTAATGATAATTCATAATTTTATTTCATAAACTATTTTCAGTAAGCAGTTTACACAAATGTAAAAAATAAACCAGTTCATTTTTTAAATAGCGATAAGATGCAAAGTTACCTTCTGGAGCCAGCTGAGCAATAACAAAACTCAAGATATCCAACTCCCTTAACAATTTTTTAACATCACCTACAAAGAATAGAATATCAGTGTTTGTTAATAATAACAATGGCTGTGTGTTCAATGGGCTTTATGAGAGAGGTACTATTATCACCTAGTTTTACAGATCAGGGTAAAAACTACACAGGAAGTAAGCGCTGGGGTCAAATGTCATGCCCAGGTCTGTCTGGCTCCACAGTTTTTAGCTCACATAGCATTTCAGAGGAGTCTCTCCTAGTATTCTTAATGTTAACTAGATAGTTAATACTAACTAGTGTTAACTCTATATTCCAGTTGATCTTATCCCTTTTTACCCTACTTTATTTTCTTCATCCACTATACAATTGAAGAAGCCAAGCATTTTACGAATATCATTAGATAGTCAAATGATAGGTCATTTAATTTCCAGTAATGGTTTCACTTTATTTCAACCAATTCATGGTATCAAAAAAAATTCTTATAAGTTCATTCATCATATCTGAGCTCCCACGACTCAGTGGAGACCTTGAAGGTAGCAAAGCTCTTTCTGTGTCTATGTTATGCTGCCACAGGCACTAGGCTCACAGCCCAAGTGGCCAGAGTGTGGTTCAACAGGTCTCAAAGAGCCATCTATTTGACATCCAAATGTAATGCAATTTTTTATATTTAGGGTTCACAGACTCCTTTAGAAACTTATGGAATTCATTTGTGAGCCCTGCTCAGAAAATACGCAATTTGGAGGATTTCACAGGTTATAAACACCTCATATATTAGAAGATTTGAATACTAACTAAAATGAATAATAGAAATTAAGTACAAAAACAAACAAGAAAAAAGTCTCAGAGACCTAGACTTAAAAATTGGAAAATATAAGCATAAACTAGAAATTAAAACTCTTATTTCCAAAGGAGATACAATCTCTCCCAAAATCACCTTGAAGGAGAACCTGAATTATGTACATTAATGTTTAGGATCCTAAAACTTATGGTGAATAATACATCTGCTAAACTATGAATCAGAGAATAAGGTTCGAATTCCAGCTCCAATCTTAGTTCTGCTACTAGTCAGCTGAATGATTTTGGGCAAGGCACTTAATCCTTTGAGGGATCATTTCTATTTTTAAAATGAGGTATTGTACAAGAAGTATTTACAAAGCACAAATAGTATTTCTTGATGTGTAAACAGAATAGACTTATGAAAAATTAAAATATTTCCCTTTCTGTGTTATAAGTACATCAGTATTGCACTAAAACAGAGTCTACAAAAACTCTAAGATAAATTTATGAAGTCTCTCAATACAAATGATTACTGCCTTATTTTAACTATTTTGTGTTTTAGTTGCCTCATATGTAAAGGGAATAACAACAACAACAACCTCATTAAATGATTTAATATATAAACAGCACATAGAACAATGTCTGGCACACTGGAAGTGCTATTTAAATGATGACTATTGTAATCTAGGTTGGTGAAAAATATGCCCTCCTCCTAAAGTCACCCGCAGAAATAGGAACACAGAACCTTGGCCTGGCGCAAAACCACCATCAGAGAACCTGCAGTAGCTGCCAGAACCCCTTCCACTAACAACACAGCAAAGTCTCATCAGCCCAGAACCCGTGCACACACTGCAGGCGCAGTCCTGCAGTCTACAGTGCAGGCGATGATGGCCCAGGTACCACGTGAAACTCTCCTCCACTTCCAGCAAACCTCCACCCTTACTGTCTCTGATGGAGGTTTTGTACAACTGCCTGGACACAGTGCTGACACCATGGAGGAGGAGAACCCACCGCCACTGCCTAACACAGGGCCAGAGAAAGTGAGGTGGGTCTGGGAAGGGGGAGAAAGTTGGGAGGAGGAATCTGAGCTGTGCTATTGCTAAGAAATGTAAGGGGGGGGGAAAAACAGGGTGAATTTATCCATGTGCCATGATAGAGTAAGTAGTTTATTTCTGGCAGCCTCGGTGGAGGTTAATGTTCCTTCCCCACCAGAAATGTCTTATTTATTATTAACAACAATAGGCTAACTAAAAAATCAATCATGTTAATGTTTTTTATTTATTTATTTAAATTTTATTTTTATATTCCCCATACAATTACAACCCCCTTATTTTGACCCCACACCTCCTTCCCGCCCCCCACCCCCCATAGAGGGTATCTGGTTCATAGTTGTTTGTTGATTTTGATATTTCCTTTCTTATAGTTATTCTTTTTCCTGGTCCCTTATTTAAGTTTTCTAGATTCCTGCTATGAGTGAGACCATCCGGTATTTTTCTTTTTCTTTCTGGCTTATTTTGCTGAGCATGATCCCTTCCAGCTCCACCCATGTTGCTGCAAATTGCATGTGTTTATCTTTTTTGAATGCTGAGTAATATTCCATGGTGTATATGTACCACATCTTCTTGATCCAGTCATCTATTTTTGGGCATTTGGGTGGTTTCCAAAGCTTAGCTATTGTAAACAGTGCTGCTATAAACATAGGGGTGCAGGTGTTCTTTGGAATTGATGTTTCTGTGTCCTTTGGGTAAATACCTAGGAGTGGAAATGCTGGATCATATGGAAGCTCTATGTTTAGTAGGTCCAGAAATCTCCACACAGCTCTCCATAGTGGTTGGACCAGTTTGCACTCCCACCAACAGTGCAGGAGAGTTCCTTTTTCTCCACAACCTCACCAACATTTGTTGTTGCTAGTTTTTTTAATATGTGCCATTCTCACTGGTGTAAGATGGTATCTCATTGTGGTTTTGATTTGCATTTCCCTGATTACAAGTGATGTTGAACATTTTTTCATATGCCTGTTGGCCATTTGCATTTCCTCTTCAGAGAAGTTTCTTTTTAGCTCGTCTGCCCATTTCTTGACTGGATTATTTTCTTTGTTTTTGTTGAGTCTCATCAGCTCTTTGTAGATTTTTGTGATCAGTCCTTTATCATTAGTGTTGTGTGCAAAAATGTTCTCCCAGTCGGTGGGGTTTCTCTTTGTTTTTGTTATTGTCTCTTTTGCTGTGCAGAAGCTCTTTAATTTGATGTAGTCCCAGCTGTTTATCTTTGCCTTCACTATCACTGCTTTGGGTGATGTGTCTGTAAAGATGTCTTTGATGTGCATATCACGTAGTGTTTCGCCTATATTTCCTTCTATGTACTTTATGGTTTCAGGTCTTATGCAATTGTATGGGGAATATAAAAATAAAATTAAAATTAAAAAAATAATTCTTTCTTTCCTCCTTCATTTACTATGAAATCCACAGGAGTATAAATTACATTGAAGCACACACATTATATTATAGTAACTCAAGGAAAAAAATCTTTTAATTTTAAGAAAAATCTTTTAATTTTAAGAGACAGTGATTGATGCACCAACTGGTCCACATGGATATATTTGCACATATTTTTATAATAAAAAATATTTTCCTCAATACATGAAATCATATATTTGTTGCATTATACTTCCTTAACTTTTATCATTAAAGTTACCTTAAATAAAATTAAAATGAGTCTCTTAAAGTTAAATGAAAAAGAAGGATAGTGCTTTACATGAGATTATTCCACTATTTTTTAAAGTTGATACTTACTATTAGAAGTCAGGATTCCAAATATCATATTAGCGTTTCTTCTGACAATTTTGTCTTCATGGGTGAGCAGTTTAGTTAAAGGTTCCACAGCTCCAAGTTCAAAGAGGGTTGCTTTATTTTCCTCACCTGACATTACAGATAAAAGAAAATCATTCATGGGCACCAAGATCATCAAATTTCTTTGTGTAATTCCAATTTTTTTCTTGCCATTTACCTTTCACATTCCTTTGCTTCCACATTTATTCCTCTCAGAATAAACTTGTAACTTTAATTATACATTGCTCCACTAAGACACATTTATCATTTTTTAAAATGATAGTATATATTCTAATTTCATGACTGGAGTAAAGAATTTTCAAAATTAATAACATGCCCTCTTACATTACCTATTTTTATTCATTTCAGTGGATTTATTGAGATTTGATTCACATTCAATTAGTATATATTTAATGAGAACAATTTGCTAAGTATTGATATGTTTTGACACCCATGAAATCACCACCATTTATAAGATAACATTACCTAATACTCCCAAAAGTGTCCTTTTGACATTTTGTAACTCTCCATTTCCATAAATTACTCTGCATTTCCTATAACTTTATAATAGAATAATGAGTATGCAATGTGTAGTCACTATTAATTCATTTTGTTCACTCACTCTTACATTGTAAATTAATCTTTCATCGGACTGAAGTGCGTATTTATTTCATATGGATCTCTCATTCTTCAAGAACTGCTTCTTGAAAGGTCTGTTTTTCCTACACTGAATTGCTTTTATACTTTTTGAAAAAGTTGTCACCATATATGTGGGTCTCTGTTCTATTCCTTTGACTTGTTTATCTTTGTGCTAATAACAATATATTATCGTACTTGAAAAAACAGTTTTGAATCTGATAATGCAAACTCTTCAGCTTTGTTATTTTTCAAAGTTGTTTTGACTGACTTAGAATATTTGCATTCCTATGCATATAATAAATTGAATAATTTTCCTATTTCTAAAAAAAAAAACTTGCTAAAACTTTGGTAGTAATTGCACTGAACCCACGATCAATTTGGGGAGAAATGATATCCTTACAACTGACATCTTCTACTGCACGAACACAGCATCTATTCCCATTCATTTAGAATTTAATTTCTTCCAGAAATATTTTATAATTTTTAATATGTAGGTCTTTTATATATTTTGTCACATTTACTCTACATATTTCAAATATTTTGGTGCTATCATATTTCATGTCTTTTTCTAAGCTACCAGAATTTCTACATTGCTAGTATGTAGAAAAGCTATTGACTTTTGAATTTTGATTTTGTGTCCTGCAATTTTGCTCATTTATTAGTTCTAGTACCTTTTCTATAGATTCAATAGAAATATATATGTATATATATAAAATAGCATGTAATTTTTAAAAGTCAACTGGAGATACTTGTACTTCTTTTTTAATCTTCATGCATTTTTATAAATTTTTCTTTCCTGATTACATTGACTAGACCCTTCTATACAATGCTGAAGAAAAGTAGTAAAAGCAGACACTCTTCTTGCTCCTAATCTGAGGTGGAAAGCATTCAGTCTTTCACCACTAAATATCAGATCATGTAGCCAGAAGTATTTCATAAATACCTGCTATTGTATGGTAGAAGTTTGTGTCTACTCTTACTTTGCTGAAATATTTTTTCAGGAGTGGGTGTTAGATTTGATAAAATATAGTTTTATATTTATTGAAATGATATGATTTTTCTTTCAAAAATATGGAGTACTAATTTCTAGTACTGTTGTTACAAATTGCCACAAGTTTAATAACTTTAAATATAAATTTGTTATCTTATATAAAGCCATATATAAAACAGAGATTTGTTATCTATGATCTGAAAGTCAGAAGTCTGAAATAGGTCTCGATAAGTGTTGTCAAGGCTATGTTTCTTGAAGCTCCAGGGGAGAATTCATTTCCTTTTCTGTATCTGTGAGCAAGATACATTATTTTCAGGTAGTGCATTAAATGATAGCCTGGTTTTCAGAAAGAATTTATCTGACAATAAGTAAGTTAATAACTAGGGAGAAAAGTATCCATTATGTAGTAAAGATTTTAAGAAATTAATGAAATAGAAAGATAAACTGAAAAAATCCAAACCTTTCAAAGCAAATCTATAAATTGCTTCACATGCTTTTGCCAAAATTTCTTCTTCTGGAGAATTAAGCATTAATACAACAGTTGCTAAATTTTTGCTTTCAATTATTAATGGATCAAACTGAAATGCAGAAAGAAAAATATGACTCATCTTTGAACATTAAAACTCACTTAAAAATGAATGTTGTTTTCAAAGTTAAAGAGAATATAATCTTATAAAACAGATGTGGTTACTTCCCACTAAGTTTATTGTCAGGCTTTTATTTTAAAAACTACTGATAGACAATTCTTAACATAGGTGGCTTTGGATTTCCTGGAGTATGGCATGAAAAGGAAAGAATTTTGGGGTCTAATTGCTCCAGTCTCAATTTAATCATATGGAATCAAACACTTAAGCTGCGAGAATTTCAGCTTCTCTTTCTGTACAACGGGTTTAAAATAACTATCTCAACACATAGAGGGGAGCACTGAAGATCACATACATGTATATTACTTAGCACACTCTAGCCATGTGACACCTCTCAGGAGTTACCACCGGGTCCTATCTGCATATCTTACTGCACTACTATAGTTAGTAGCTTCCAAATTTGTCTTCCAGTTTTCACTCTCCTTCCACATTGATTTTTTAAATACAAATCAGATGTTACTAGTCCTCTACAGCAGGCCCTTGCACAACATTGTCTCTTTCAATATTGTTGTAACATTGGTGAGAAAAATAAAATCAATCCCCTGAGGGGTCAATGTATGCTGTGGAATGTTCATGTGGTCCCAATATCCATGTGGGTTTTCTCTGGGTAGTTCCATTTCTTCCCATCCCAAAGATCCACTGAGATCCATTGGCTTGTATAAACCATCTCAGTCTGAGTAAAAATAGGTGTTGGTGAGACTGTACCTCATGATGGAATTGCTTTCTGCTCGGGATTGGGTCCCACCTTGCATCCCAGATGCAATCCCTGAAACTGAACTAGAATAAGTGAGTTGGAAAACGAATGAAGACAATCTATCCTCACAGGCCCTTTGAAACTCAACTGATCTTTGGAAAATCACTGTCTTAGACCATCTTTACTACTCAAGACAATTTACCTAGCATTCCTCTCCACCAACCCCTATTCAGAACAGATTTCCCTTTCCTTTTAGAAACTTACTTCACACCTCTAACATTTCAATATTTCTAAAGCTGATTTTACAAGCATGTGAATACATACATCTTGTTGAAGAATAGGAATGTCAGGATCTCAGCAAAAATTCTCAAAGTAGCAAAGGACATGAAAGTACATGTAAACAAAAACTATAGTAACTATCCCTTTATTCTCCTTCAACAGTTTAGAAAACTCTAGTGTTTTACCAAAACTTCACCTTTTCAAAAGGTGATATGGAGTAGGAGGGACTTAAAGGGAAGAATGAGACTGTGAGAGTTGTCAAAGCAGGAGAAATATCAATGTTTGGCAGAGAAAGAAGAAACTTGGCAGGACATTTGTTTCTCCTACAGAGCCTACAGCATTTTAGTAATATTTTATTTAAAAAGGCACTGAGAATAAAATAATAGCTATCACAGAATGCCACATGACTAAATAAATAATACTGAGCTATAATTACATATTCCATCTGCTCTTCCTGATTGTGATCACCAACAAGCTCGTTGTGAAAGTATAATGTCAGTCTTTACAAAATAAACAATCAAAATTATTTACAAAAAGAATGAAAAAATGAAGCATTTTGGGTAAGTTTTGAATTTTTAAATGCTGTCAATTAGAGAAGCTATAGACTTAGATATCTTTATATCTCTAAGAAAATAAGACTTCTAGAATAGTGTTGTCCAATAGAACTTAAAGGATGAAAATATTTGCATTCTGCATTATCCAATATGGCAGTCAGTCACAAGTCCCATTCAACTCTTAGGCACCTGAAATGTAATTAATACAACTAAGAAACTGATTTATTAATTTTATTTTCTAATTGTTAACTTCAATTAATATAACTTCAATGAGACTAAATGGGTTAAGTGCAAAACACTTAAGAAAATGACATCTAGTTTTCTTTCTTTACAAGCAGAATCAAAGTAACATTTTTTATAGAAAGGTGAATAAGCTGAAAATTAGTTATATGTTTTTGTATATTATTTATAAATTTATACCATATTTTATAAGTTCATGATGTTTTGTTTATCTGTGATGAAGGACCAAGATGGAAAAACAAGCTCCTATGATTTGTTACTACTAGAAAAACATTTATGTAGTTCGGGCAGTATGGGACAAGAGATATGACTGCTCAGAGACTGGTGAAGAACATCTGGGAGACATTTCACTCTTCCAAGGATCCAAGCTTGGTTACCCAGGTTGCTTTGATTCAGCGCTCACCAAGATTAGTTTCATATGTTACCAGGTGAGGGAGAGGAGGTGCTGATCAACATAAAATGCTCAATTAACTTGACATTTAATCAGAGCCAGGTCATAGTCTCTTGTGAATCTAGATATTGTGGATTTTCCCAGAAAAGATCACTTACTTCTGAAATATTAGGAAAATAAAATTTCTGTGCTACTAAATTTGAAGACCTGGTCACAAATCATAACAACCACACACCAGGTCTCTGGATACTTTTGTGGCAGCTGGTCTTCCAGAGCTGATCCTTGCTTCCATGGACAGTTCATACGATCTCCTATAGTTTTGTAGAATGAGGAAGAACATCCTCAACTAAGTCAATAGTAACAGCATTTACTAAGTTCTTACCTAGCGCCAGGCACTGTCCTAAGCATCTTACATTTACCTAACTTTGCTTCATCACTATGAGTGGATGTGACATGGATCTCATTACATCCACTGGGGTTTACAGAGATTAGCCAATTTATCTCAGATCATAGATGGTGGATAACGGAGTAAGGATTCAGACTTGGTAGAGTAACTCTGGAGACTATCGTATTTACTGAATAGCTCGCCTTATACTAAACATGGTCTATGGTTTCTATTCCTGTTAGTAACTCTTTAAACATTCCATTGGAAGTTGAATTTTATTAAAGCATCAGCAACAATCTCTCAACCAGACATGGAAATGATTTGGGAAGGCAAAATGTAGCTGGACTGTTCACTCAAGAAATATCTTCCAAACATCTGGACATCTTAGCTAGTGTTCTCCTTCATGAGAAGAACAAACATGCACATAGCAATGTACATACTGGCAGTAAGAATATTTTTAAAAGCAGTGTTTTTTTTTTATTTTAATCACATTACCGAACACTCTTCTTTCTGTCCCCCATTTTAATAGTAGTAGATGAAAGACTAGCAAAAATTAAAACCTTTGCAAACAATTTTTAAAAATATATAAGAAGCAAATCACCGTTTAGTTGACGCTGAAAAATTTATGTTCTCAAAAAGTTATAAATTCCCTCTCAAATCTTTTTTTTATTTGTAATTTGTACAATAAAACTTTCAGAGACTTTGAAGAAGTCTCAGAATAAATTCCACATTACTTTAAATTGTTGTATATTGTTTTGAAGTACTCAAGTTTAAAAAGATAGAAAAGCAACTAGATACTTGAGTACTACTCCAACAGATTTATTACAAAAAGACTGAGTAGGGGAAGTATGGCCAAACTCTTGAGAAAGATAATAACAAGAATTATTAGTAATTGTTAATATGCTTTTGGTTGCCACTATGGCTATTGGTAACAGAAGAAATAAGCTACAGTTTTGTTAATGCTGGGATTGTAATTGTTTCTCAAGTCTATGACTGTGCCCGCCAAGGAATGGAATATGGAGGACAATACCAACAAGACATTATAAAATTGCAGAAAGTGTGCTACTAGACAGTTATATTGATTACTTAGCAGTAGTTAACTCTAATTTAAAAAAATTAAAATTAAAAAGTGTTTATCATCCTGCACTGAGTTCAGGAGCCAAATTTCTAGTAATAAGTTATCAATAATGCTATTTTGCTACAAAAAGAAAAGTAATACAAATAGAGGTGGCAATGAAAAACTAAGAGAATTTGCACCATTTTAGGAAAATGCAAAGGTAAACAGCCAGACAAAAGAAACACTATCAGAAGACTGAACTGACTATCTCTACAGAGCTTCCCTAGACGTGGGCAGACAAGTGTTTTTGTAGCCTTTGTTCCCAAATCTTTGAAGGAGAATCATATGAGGTAGCTACTTAGGGTGTGTGTATGTGTGTGTGTGTGTGTCTAAAGGATTCCCAAAATAATATATCTTGTATACTGTTAACTATATGCCAAGCTCTGAGAAATTTCGTGCTGTTTTAATTCATACAACAAACAAAATGAGTTCAACAACACAAATCCCATTTTAGAGGTTAAGAAAAACTGAAATAACTTGGACAAATTTGCAGCTTTACCACCACAAGTCTGTAAGAGGCAGAGCTGTGACCAAGCTCACACGTGTAACCACCATGGCCCAGAGCTCTCAGGGAGATTCTGACACTCGGCTTAGGTTCCTTCAAGCTGCAAAGCCCTCTTAACGATATTCTTTTTTTTCCCCATTCACATTTTATTTGATGAAAAGCATACCAAGTGTCTGTTTCAAAATAAAGTTCTGAAGTGAAAATTGTCCAAGGCCATTTTCTACTTGTAAAACAATTCTTCAGTAATTTTAAAGAATGAAGATAAAACCAAGCATTTAAGTGAGAGAGATGAGGCTCTGTGCTGTCAGGAAGGCATTACTCAAGCCTCTGGCATAAAAATGAGGAGTGTAGCAATCTGGAAAACACAGGACTATTGGTCATCTTCAGACAACCTTTTATACTGCATATATATATATATATACTGCATATATATATATACTGCATATATATATATATATATATATATGCAGTACTATAGCACAACTTCCAATATTTTTGAAAACTCCCTTGGATAATTAACATTAATGAGAGACTGGTAAGTATAAATGTAAAGTATTTAAGAGAGTAATCAAAACTATTTATTGACTAGGCTTATAAACATGCCATCCACATAGTGGAAAAGCTAATAATTACCCCTTAATTGTGCTAATTCTGTAATGACAATGCTGTAAATTTGTGTTTATTTAATGTTAGATTTCTCTGAGTAATGTTACCATTACTCAGACTTTGGACTTCTGCCACCATACACTCATGAACATACTGGTACATGCCAAACTGTTTGAAAAACTTATTTAAAAAAAAAAAAATTGTTGATGGCAACTAGCATTCAAATCAGAAACTTACCACATCCTTATGAGGAGGTTCTGCTTCTTTCTTTATCTTTTACCCATTCTGGAAAGAGATGCAGTCAGTGGTTAAAGTGTCCCTTCTACATTTTACATACATACACTTTCTTGGCCACCTATGTCCTCAGGAGGAGATTAATTTCTTCCTTTAAAGTTTACCTAAAAATACACAATAAGAAAATGTGTAGAATTTATTGAACTTGAACAAATATATTACCTACATCCCTATTTCAAACTCTACAATTTTTTAAACTCTGAAATTGCTGGATATTAGTCCTAGCTTCCAGTTTTAAAAGAGGAAATATATTACTAATATAACTTTTACTCACATAATAAAAATAGTCTATAGATTTATGTAGGGCTTGGGAGACAAAAATTCAAATGACTTATGAGATCTGCAAGAATGTTTTGTTACCAAAGCAGGATTTTTGTGTTCTTTCTTGCACTGATCTATCCCAAGAACAGCGTTTGGTACATGACAGGTATTCGGTATTTATAAAAGTCATTATCTCTGTATTCCCTGAAAGTAGGGATGTCTGAATTTGGTACCCAAGATCTACCAGCTCCACATTAACATTTGTGTCATTTCCCCTACCTGCAGGGCAGTTAAATATCAAGATCTTTGAGGGACCAGGCAAGCTCACTCTATGTTGCACTACTTCACACTATATAGAATATGTTAAAGGGCACCCAAATCCCTCAATAAATATGATCTCCATCATAAAAATTTTTGGAATTTTGCATGTAAAATTACCTACCAATCAGTTTGAACATTTGAAAATTGCTGCAAAATGAGAAAATTATTTTCAAATGTAATGAAATTTTAATATTAAAAACTTCGAACATAACATAATTTTCCATTTTCATATTTTTGAACCATTTTTTTCCATCAAATCTCAACATCATAAATAGCTGTTTGCAAAGCACAGGCCCTAGAACTTGTACCTGTATTGTTTCAAGCAAACACACAGAAACTATTCTGGACAAATTAAAACCTATTCTTTAATTCATTGGAATGGGCAAAAGAAATTCCGTAGCTCTTTTCTAACCAGTTCCAAGATATAACAGCCTTTGATTTGCAAAGGAATTCCTAACGAATCATATTTAAGAACCAATTAAATTATACTAGCATAAGCTGCTTTAAATCATCTGATTTTCAGTCAAACTTAGTTCAGGGAAGTGGGTTTTCAGTAATTGCATGCTGAAGGCTATAAAGGATGAAAGCTTTAACATAGAGGACTATGGTGATGGAAATGTGGAAATGGTCACAGGCACTGCTGTGCGGTAGTAAGTGCTTAGCTTGTATCTTTATTAGCATATTGGATACAATAATTAATTGGGGAGAAAATTTATAGCTGACATCGGTTGAGGCAGTGAGCTTCAGAAATGACCCTAAGGATTTAAAGAAAACTTTACAAATTCAACATTTCACTTAAAACCAACATGCTACAACTAAGTCACCTTATATTATTCTTTGAAGATTAGTTTTCCTTTAAAGCCAAAGAAATGTCAAATTAAGAAAATAATTTCTTTTAACTTTTTGAAGAAAATTAACCCTGTTTACCTTGACTATTTTATACCATTGATTTTTTTCTAAAATATACATAAAATCAACCATTTTAACATGATTAGGTATATAGTTGTGTCTAATGTCCAATTATATGGGTAATGAATTATAGAAAATTCCAAAAGCAGAGAAGGGTACATGGAATAAAAAAATAAAAACAGAAATACAGGGAAATCAGGACCACTTCAAAATAGATCCTTATGTATGTGCTTTCTAAATTTTACAATCTCACCTGTGTTTCTATCCCCTATTCTCAACTTCCCATCCTGGGACCATTTTCTACTAAATTCTTAAATTAATGGACTAGTTCATGAAATCTCAGTCTCCATTTATTGATGTAATCATCTCCAGTGGGCAAGCATATTATGTCATTTAATATGATATTTTAACACCCTCTAGATAATCAACCTCCTGTTGTTGAGCATGTTTTCAATTTTCTGGAATCAGACAAGTCTACAATGAACAAACACCCTTATCCATAAAATTTTCACCCTCATAGGCATTTGTTTCTTTAAGATAAATCCCAAGTTAGTGAAATAACTGGGTTAAAATGTATGAACTTCATGGCATTGTGTATGGAAACTTATCTGATTTAAATTTGCATTTTCTGGATTATTGGAGAGGAGTCATCACCTTTTTTCATGAATTTAACAATTTCATATTTCTTTGTGAACTTTCAGTGTACATGTTTTTTAATGTTTCTAGTGGGGAGACTATTTTGAAGAGATTTTAAGGAGAGGAGGGCTAGAACAAATGGGAAGCTGTAAGGGGCAGGACTGGGCACAGTGCAGGTTTTCTGATCCCATGCAGACCGGGTAAAGGAGGAGTCAGAGTCCTCAGTAGTTTTGCAGGTTTTTATTTGGGGTTCACCAGGCATATGGCAGGCAGGGGTGCTGGCTGGGGGCTGGGAGGCTGGCAGGCCTCCAGCCCCCAGCAAGTCTTCACTCTATCTGGGCTCTCTGGCGTTCTCTGCTTCTGCTTCGGCTTCTCCTTCAGGTTCTGCTGCTGCTGGCTGGGGCTGCTGCTGCTGCTGCTGGCGTCCCCCCGTGACGCCGCCCTTAAAAGCACAGTCTTAACTCAGCTGAATCCCATCTACCTATGCCCACACCCTATTCCAGGTGCCCGCCATCAGGCATGCATTCAGGACAAGGATCCATCATCTATCCTGATGGCGGGAGGGCAGAAAAGCCTGATATTTTCTTTACCCTACAGTCCACCCCCTCAGGGTTTTCTGCCATACAGTCTATACACATATATACAATTTTCTAAGCAAACAATGCAGCCATAGCCCACAAAAAAATACATCAAATATAAAATACAATATAACAAAATACAACAGAACACAAATAAGTCCAGGCAGGGCCCCAACCTAGCGCAAAAGACAATTATTGGTACCAGCAGATGAGCCACCAAATCTGCTGCCGAAGGCACTGCTCATACGAGGGAGGGGAAATCACACACGGCATCTGCTGTAACACACCAGGAGCCGTCAGGCTTCCTGGCCTTCTCTGGCTGTAGTCTCGGCTACAAGGCACACACAGCATCCACCCCCAGGATGCACTAGCTCTGGGACTGGCAATTTTATTCTGTTGGGGGTAATCGCCAACCCTCAGGGTTTCTGTCTGCAGTCGCTCCAACACTCGGCCTTCATGGCCACCCATGCGACTCACAGACCCCTGCTCTCAAGCCAACCCACTGCACAAGCACATGGGTTGGGGATCCAAACTTTGCATTTGGCTTGGCTCACCCCAAGCCACATTCCCCACCCGTCCCACAAGGACGGGCTCCTCAGCTCCTCACCCTCACTCAAGAATGAGCAGGGCATCACCCATAGGTGATTTTACGAGACTCACAGGGCTTTCAGCATACCCAGGCTGCTTAACAGCCGCTTTAGGGCTTCTCAACTTAGCATCAGTACCAGCTTTTGCCACCTTAGTTGGCTTTTCTCCTCCACCTGGCCACTGGGCATACACAGGCTGCTTTTGGCCATCTAGGCCCACTGGCCACCCCCAGATTCTCAAAAAATAAACATAACCTGCTAAGGTCCTCCGCCTTCTGGTGGGATTGTCAGTCCAAAATCATCAGTTCATCAGTCTATCAGTCCATTGGCCTCTCCCTGCTTCAGCAATGGCCTGCTGCCTCAGGGGTCATTGGCTGGTCCTTTCCGGTGTCGTTGGCTGGTCCTATCCGGTGTCGTTGGCTGGTCC